GAGAGTACAAGGGGCCAGCTCTCTGGGGACAATGCACAGCAACTTTGGCAAATGGGCCCACAGCCAGGGCTTCCCTTGCTAGGTGGTGATAGGGGCTCTTTATAAAACAGAGGCCCCTCTTGCTTTCTCTTCTGCTTCTCTAAGTTTATTTCCTCAAACTTTATTCTGTCACAGATTTTTGACCTTTGGAAATAAAAGCCACACACAGTTCCCAGGTTACTTTGCATTCTTCTCTAACTTGTAACTTCCCCAAGGCAGTGACACACAGAGCAGATTCCAAACAAAACTGGGTAGAATGGAAAGTGAAATATATCTTTTAAATATATAAGATATATATCAAAACATCCAACCAGCTAGGTAACAGAGCAGGTAAATATATTAAGGCAACTCTGAGACCAGAAAGAAAGAACACTTGTGTGTATGCCCCTTAAAATTCTAATACAGAAAGGAATTGCCTATCTATTATTAACTATTAAAAACATTTTCCAAATATCCTCTTACAACCAGCAGATTAAAGGAAACACATCTTCAAAAAAATGTTTGGGTATTAGCCTGGTTTAAAAACATGACAGCCAGCAAGGGTGTGGTGTTACACCTGTAATCCCAGCACTCGGGAGGATCATAAATTTAAGACCAGTCTGGCCTACATAACAATACCATGTCTCTAAAGATACTTAATTTATGTCATCTCTCTTCCTTTCAAACTGGGATTTGAACTCAGGGCCTTGTGCTTGCTAGGAAGACACTTAATCACTTGAGCCCTTTTTGCTTTAGTTATTTTTCAGGTAGAGCCCCTCATGCTTTTGCCTGGGCTAGCCTTGGACCATACTCCTACTGTGCCTCCCTTGTACCTGAAATTATAGACATATGCCACCGCGTCTGGCCCAACTTACCTTTTGAATATAATTTAAGTCTCCTCTTTGTGAGGATGATGAGCATTGTTGATTTCAGCTTTTAATACATTTTAGGAGAGCAAAAGCACCTTTCCCTCCCACCCTAAACGATGCCGAGGACTTCCTGGTAGGAATTAATTTGGGATGAAAGAGGGGCAATTGCTTTGCAGGTGAGGATGGGCCTGGTGGGAGGGTTCTTTAGAACTTCCAATATGGGTTTTAAGAACAATGGCAACAGTGAACCCACATGAGAAGATGCAGTCATGAACCACACTGATTTATGAATTATTATACAAGCCAGAAAAAGTTTAACACCAACCTTTAAAAATTATTCTCTCTTCTCAAGTAGGGGAAAATAGGAATGTCATAAAAACCTGTGAGCTAGAAAGCAGGCCAGAGCTGAGGTTCAGTACAATATCTCTTCCTATTCCTGTACTCTCTTCTGCATCTCACATCACCATTTATGTTTCTGAAGAAACCAGTCTCCCAGTCTCCAAGCCAAAAAAAAAAAAACCCTCAAGTCGAACTAATGTATGAGTATAATGATGAGAATCCCTCCAATTCCTTTCTGCTGTCATTTTGCTGTGATCTTTGGACAGCTCGTAGTTCAGCCCCAGACAGATTGGAGCTGCAATCTGACTACACAGTGTGCTATAGGTAGAGAGAGTCTTCAAAATTAAGTAGGACTACCTAACTTTAAACCTTTGGCATAACCTGTGAGAGACCACCTAAAACACTATTGCTCTTTACACTTTCTGTGCCTTTTGAATACTATTACACTTAAAATATTTTTACATTTGGAAAGCCAAACACATAAAACAGGTATCTCTCCAAAGAGAATATTTATGTGGTATTTTGTTATAGGGAAGAGTAAATGCAAAAGAGAGGCACCCCTAATTCAAGGTCAGTTAGCCCCAAGTTATGGGTGAGAAAAACTGTATTTTCTAAAATATTTTTAACACAAATTCATTCACTTTTTAAGCCAATTAAAACAGCAAGAATCTACTTAATTACCTTTTCTTTTTCTTTCAGTTTGAATAACAATTATTGAGTCTTTATTTTCAATTGACATATCATACTTAAATATGCTTATGGACTACAGTGTGATATCTTCATAGATATATCACATGTATCATAGATATATTACATGTATACAACATGTAATGATCAAATCATGGTAATTAGCATATCCATAACCTCAAACATTTGTCATTTCTTTGTATTGAGAACATCCAAAATCCTCTATTTTAGCTCTTTTGAATTTTTTTTTTGATAGAACTGAGGTTTGAACTCAGAGCTTCCCACTTGCAAAGCAGGCACTCTATGTTTTTAGTCAAGCCTCCAGTCCATTTTGCTCTGGTTATTTTGGAGATGGGGTTTCTCGAGCTATTGACTGGGATTGCCTTGAATCACTATCCTCCCAGTCTCAGCCTCCCAAGCAGCTAGGATTACAGGCATGAGCCACCTGGTGCAGTTTGGCCAACTTTTTATAACCCAAGTGCAAATCATGAAGACATTTCCATAAAATGTCAGCCATGGATGCAATCCTAAACTGTGAAGTCCAAACTTCTGTTTCTCCTGTCTTTTGGACAAAGTCTCATTATTTTCCCTATTATATCAATATAAGTTATGAAAGGAAAATAACTGATGTGAATGCATTTACCAAAATTGTTGCTATCATTGCACTGCTATTAAGTCTCACATAGCACCTATTCTGATAGGTGCTACTCATTCATGAAATATGATGATGTTTAAGAAGGACAGGGCAGAACTTACATCTGTGACCAAAAGACTTTGTAATCCAATTTAACCCCAGGTAGAATTTTTCATCATCTACGGAAGTCCATCAAGTGATGCTGACCTGGGTAAGTAATTTTTTTAAGTAGGATTTCCTGAAGTAACTAGGTCATCAAACCACAACATGAAGTCATACGTTCTGGTAGAAAGTTGCCAGTACATCTTTAAAAGCCAGAGATAGGTGTGCATCCAGGTCTTTGTGTGTGTTAGGTACTAAGCATGGTATCTGCTAAGTACTAAAGAGAATTTCCCACTGTACATATTGAGATGTCCCTGATCAAACTGTTGGGACCTAAGGCTGTAGATCAACAGGCTATGACTGAAATTTTTAAGATATTTTGAATAACAACATGAGAAAAACACACCCTGGTTATCTTCTTCAGCATTAGGGATTATGTCATACAGTCTATTTAATGCGTATCTAAAATTCATATTGAAGTTACTATTGGCAATAAAAATTCAGTTCACTGATAATTATACAGGCAAAGGTGTAATTTATCAAAACAATATTTTATTTATTTAAATGACTTATTGTTAAGAAATGGACAAGTGCTCGCTTCGGCAGCACATATACTCAAATTGGAACGATACAGAGAAGATTAGCATGGCCCCTGCGCAAGGATGACACGCAAATTCGTGAAGCGTTCCATATTTAAAGAAAAGAAATGGACAAGTCCTGCAGGAGTAGGTTGGGGCATATCCTGATCCCTGTTCCAGCCCCCTGTTCTGTGAGGGTTGCTTGCCATGAGCCCACAGCTGAGTCCCTTTCTGCATATGGCCCTCAGCTAAAAGACTTGTGCACTGTTTTACTTCCTCCCCAGGAGCATCCCACGTTTAATAAGAGGGCATAAGTCTCTTACGAAGGCCATTGCTCCCATTCAGATGACTCTAAAAGGAAATCGCAGCTCCAGAGCCTTAGGATCACCTGAGGTCGCTATAGCAAATTGTTCAGTTCAACAGCTCTCTGCCCCACCTTGCTGCCCTCCCTCCATCACAGGTGTGGTTCACAAATAGTTTAAGAGACTCTCAAACTGCTTTTGCTGAAAAGCACTGACTCCTTCTTGGCCCCATGAATTAACTAAAAACAGAAGAAGCTTTGCGTCCCTGCCTCCATTTTGTATCTGTCTCTGCTCTAAGCCATTCTCTTTACAGTCACTTTGCAATCACTTTGGATTCCAGAAAGGACAGAACTGTAACATCTTTATGTCAAAGGACTAAAACGTTCCACAAATAGTGAAACGTGTAGGACACACTACTTCTCCAAATGAGGACAATTACCTGTAATGATGAGGCCGCACCCTGGAGCAGGAGTAATCATCTCACGGGAATCAGATTGCTCCTTCAAATGATAACAGCAATAACATCGTCTCTAGAACCCCTCTGGGAGCCTTTGGACTGAGATAATGGTCAACTAGAACACACCTGTGACCGGGACTGTTTATGCATACCTTTGTTCCCTGCCCCCAGTTCTTTTGTCTACTTATACTTATAACTCATGTCTGCACCCCAAAAATGGATGAAGACGAGCTGAATGTTTACTCTGCCTCTTCTCACAGCATGTCCCAAGCCGTGTAATAAATCTTTCTCTGCTTTCACCATGCCTCTTTATTTGGCATTTAGGGGCGGATGGCTGGACCTGGCATATGCAACCTCAGGATAAAACGGAGAAAACGGAGAAAGGCCCCTGGAACGCCTAGGGTGGGGGATCCCTAATTAACGGTTGTCTCTATACTATAGCTTGGGAGACACTGCCACCTCCAGGACAGTCATGAACGCTGGGGCTGGAGGCTCAGCCACTTGGGAGAAACGGTACAATGAAAACTCTGTCTCCTAATCAAAAAAAAGAGGGAGGGAAGGAAGGAAGAAAGAAAAGAAATTACGTCCCAACACCAGCTCCGTATCTATTCATCACGTTTAAGCAATTCACAGCCTTTCGCCACCTCTGTGACCAGTTTTTCTGTGTAGGACCAATACTTCAAAGAACTTACGTACCATACTATTTTCACATGACCATTTAATGAAAGCTAACATTTGCAGAGTGCTTCCTATGCGCCAAGCGCTTTCTTTCTTAATCTTCACAACAGCCCTTTGAGGTAGAAACTATTATCATAAAGACATGCATATTGACAATGCGTGGATAAATTTTCAGGATCATTAGTGGCCGCAATGTGGAATAACGGGTTGCCCACTACGCAAGCGCCGCCCTGCCCGGGCATGCGCAGAAGCAACCACAAGGGTTGCCCGGGGCCGGCACTAGGGAGGTGTGGCCGGACCTCTGAATGCCCAGCGTCCCCTGCGCGCTGCAGCAAAATGGCGGCGCCCATGTTGCGGTGCTTTTCTCGGGGCCGGAGGTCTGGTCCCCCTAGCCTCTCGGGTTTCTTGCCCCTGGAGCTGCGCAGGGCCCACTCAGGCGCTCAGGGATCCTGGCGGCGCAGAAAGCTAGGGGTCTGTTCAAGGACTTCTTCCCGGAGAGGGGTACGAAAGTAGAGCTCCCAGAGCTCTTCGACCGTGGTTCGGCGGGCTACACTCCCCAGACCATTTACTGCGGCTTTGACCCCACGGAGGACTCGCTTCACGTGGGGCACTTGTTGGCGCTGCAGGGCCTGTTCCACTTCCAGCGAGCCGGCCATAATGTGATCGCGCTCGTGGGGGGTGCCACAGCGCGCCTGGGAGACCCGAGCGGCCGCACCAAGGAGCGCGAAGCACTGGACGCGGGGCGCGTGCGGGCCAACGCGCGTGCGCTGCACCGGGGGCTCGAGTCCCTGGCGGCCAACCACCAGCAGCTGTTCGCCGACGGGCGGGCCTGGGGCAGCTTCACCGTGCTGGACAACTCGGCGTGGTACCAGCAGCAGCACCTGGTGGACTTCCTGGCGGCCGTGGGTGGCCACTTCCGCATGGGCACGCTGCTGAGCCGCCTGAGCGTGCAGACGCGGCTCAAGAGCGCAGAGGGCATGAGCCTGGCAGAGTTCTTTTACCAGGTGCTCCAGGCTTACGACTTCTATCACCTGTTCCAGCATTATAGGTGCCGGGTCCAGCTGGGCGGGTCTGATCAGCTGGGCAACATCATGTCTGGATATGAGTTCATCCACAAGTAAGCGCCCTTAGACCCCACAGAAATCCAGGGGCCGAGTAATTTCCACTGTTCTCGTAGCCTGTTTCTCATTATTACTATCGTGGAATGCTGCCCTTCGTTAAAACCTTGATGGTTTTTTTCTCACTAGGGGTCTATATTGGCGTTAAAGACACTGGCGAATGAGAACGAGCTGAATTTGTAGAAGGCTTGTAGGAAATAGACCTCCAGTCAAGACTTGAATTGTTTGCTTCCCTTAAGTTGCTGTCTTTTTGTGTTTCTAACTTGAGAAATTGCTTTTGTTGTTTATGTCTTGAAGGTAATTGGGCCTCCTCCTTTTAGTAACTTTAGCCCTTCTCCCTCTATGAAACTAATTTTAGTCTTCGATTTTTTTGGCATCTCAAATGTTTTGCAACTCTAAATATTTGACAAGTAATGTAGATTTTAATGGCATTTTCTGTGTCCGGAGCAAAACTCGCTTTTGAAAATATTAAAAGATTTTTTTATGTGGCAGCAGTGGATTTGCACTCAAGACCTGCACGTTGGCTAGGCAGACAGACACTCTACAAGCAGAGCCACTCTGCAACCCCTTTAGTGTGTCTGGCTCGCCCTTTTCCTAGGTTTCTCTCCTTTTCCCATCTGAACCTTCAGAGTCACTTCCCTTTGGCTTGCCTACAGCCACTCCTGTAGTCGCAGTTCCGGACGAAAATGTAGATACATGGTGGTGCTGTAACAGTGCATGAAACGGACAGGAATCCCGATTTAGGATTCCTACAAAAGTTTTCTTGTAGCAAGTAACCAGATTGAAATCTGCAGGGAGTGGAACCTACCCTACTTGTGCTTGAAGCGTATCATGATGTTTTTTGTGCGTAGGCTGACTGGAGAAGACGTTTTTGGAATCACTGTCCCTCTAATTACAAGTACAACTGGAGCAAAGCTGGGAAAGTCGGCGGGCAATGCTGTATGGCTAAACAGAGACAGAACGTCTCCATTTGAATTGTATCAATTCTTTGTCAGACAGCAAGATGATTCTGTGGAAAGGTGAGTTCTTAAGAGTTGACTGAGAAAAATTAATGTCATAAGCTCATGATACAGTTTAGCCATTGAATCTATGTACCCTTGTCGTTTTTTTAACTTAGATTTTACGTAAGGTACAAACCATTACATCACAGTGTTCTAGATGCTTTTTCTGGTTAAAATAGAAACTGCAGTGGTTGGCTAGAAAACATACAGCCAAGTTTTTTTTTTTTTTTAATATCCAGCAAATACTTAGGATTTTATTGCTTGCATATTCTAGGTTCTTCACTCCTTTCATCTTAAACCTGACTGCTCAGTTTTCTTCATAGATAACTCTGAAGTTTCTTTCTTTTTTTTTTTTTTTTGGCAGTACTGAGATTTGAACTCAGACCTTGTGCCTCAGGTGATTGAGGCAGGTGCTCTACCACCACTTGAGCCATACCTCTAGCCCTTTTTGTGTTTTTCTTCCAAATAGGGCCACACTTTTATGCCCAGGCCAGCCCAGACTGCGATCCTTGTGTTTATTCATCCCACCTCGCGGAATCCCACCTCACTGGATGACAGGTGTTGCACCACCATGCCCAGCTTTTTGTTGTTGTTGGTCGAGATGGAGTCTCACCAACTTTTTACCCAGCTGTCCTTGATCTTTTGTTCTCCTGTTCTCTGCCTCCAAAGTAGCTAGGGTTACAGGTGTGAGACACTGTGCCTGGCAAAAGTTTCTTTTCTTTAGTGTAGCATAAAACACCTTTTTAAAAAGTGATTTTTCTCAGCTGGGTTGGGGGTGGTGTTTGCTTGTAACCGATTTACTTGGATGGCTGAGGCAGGAAGATCACAATTTCAGGCCACCCTGGAAACAGCAAAATCCGTGTCAAAGAACAAGTGATTTTCTTAATTTTCATTGAGTTTTACTCTTCGAGAATATAACTTAATGGGAAAACAAATATGCCTGCAACAACGATGGTATTTTGATACTACTAATCATCAAAAATATTCTAGGGTAATTCTTTGAAAAAATTTAAATATGACTTTCTTGCAAAACATCAGAAAATGCTATTGAGCAAATAAAAAGAGCTAACATAAATGGAGAGTTACACCCATATTAATATGTTTAGAAAGACATCAATTCTAGTTTGAGCCAATATCCAGTGCAGTCCCAACCATACATGAGCAGGATTTTTTGTGGAGCTTGACAAGTCTAAGATTTACAGGGAAATTAATAATAATAAATAAAATAATTGGCCAAGACCTTTTTTTTTTCTTTTTTTTGTGGTACTGGGGTTTGAACTTAGGGCACTTGCTAGGCAGGAACTCTACAGCTTTAGCCATGCCTCCAGCCCCGGCAATACATTTTTGAAGAACACAGTGAAGAGATTATGTCTTACTGGAAATTATAGTAAGGTTTTCCTTTTAGATTTATTCCTGCATACTTGATGATACAGTTCTAGGTTTGATGTATCAAAACTGATATATTTTTGAAAATTCTCATTTTAATTTGTTCTTAAATAGAAATACAGTTAATTTCTGTATCCAGTAATCCTGCTAAACTCACTAATTCTAATAATGCTAAGGTTATAAGTTTAAACGTAAGGTT